CCCAAGATACCCAATCTGAGTCCATTTGTCTACGGCATTTGATGAACAACAGCAACACTGAAATAAATAAATGCAGAAAATAGCCCAAAGAGAGTACACTCGCTGACTGGTTAAAAATCGTGTTTCTATTAAACAATTAGGTTATGAGCTCAAGATTTCTACCACGCATAAAAATCGAGAACGTATAATCTAACTGTTTTAGAATAAATCTACTAGTCATTCAAAACTTTATCTAAAGACTCTCCACAGACACTTCAAAAACGCCAAGAAGGGGACCTCATTTTGTTATCAAGGGTGCACTGCTAAGCCACTCACTATCTATCACAGAATAGATAGTGATTAATGTAGCCAATCAGAGAACGGCATTCATGATAGAATGCTAGTAGATTTATACTAAAACTTGATAGAAACACAGAACTAACATGAGCTGTTGACATAATGATATCGATGGTGTGAGCAACGAGAATTTACATTTTGATGATCAAAGTAAACAAGTTGTTTTCTTTTTTTGACAGGGTATTTTCTAAAAGAAATAGAAAACATGTTCTCCGTGTTAATTCCATTGAGTTATAGAAACACTTGTGAAAGTTTGGGAGAGCTTGAAAAAGCCGAGGAAACACTCACCTGTCAGCTCGTGTTCCCACAACATGTATGTTTTCTATTTCTTAAATAGAACTTTTCATAGAGCTTTACAACTGTACTTCAACATATCTTTTTTCTTGTGTTCTTAAAACTAAAACTACCTCTGTGTTTTGTTACACTAACTCTTGAACTTCCAACATTTCTGCCGGCCTTTCAAGAGTACTGCAATGAGAACTAGTGTTAACTTGTAAAATACTCAGGGCTGCAGGGCTTGAAAAAAGAGCCATCCAGTTGTCTGGGACAAGTAGATTTTTCTCTTGCATGGGCAAGTAACTTTTCATTCTCACTTGCACACTGGGCAAGGGCCCAGGCAAGTTGTCTGCCAACTAAATTAACAAACATGTAGACTGTAGGGGGTGGACCAGGGATGAAACCAGGAATGAAACCGGGAATGAAACCAGGACTTGGGCCAGGACTTCGCACGAAAACTTACCGCTACGTTTAAAAATATGTAAGCTCACACTTTAGACAATTACACTGAAAGTCTCACCTCTTACTCCTTCTGCCCGAGTATTATGTTCCTCTAAAATAGAATCCTGCATATCAACAGCATTTAAATCTTCCTGCGACCACAAACTTCGACGTGCTTTTGTCCGAGTCTTTACTCAATTTAAGGCTCAGGACCCTCCGCTGAGATCGCATTCCCGCGATGAAATCTTGACCCGACAGCATGCAACGTAATTGATTGATTAGATGTAAACCTTGATTGCCACTGCCTACATATGGTCATCCTTTGTTCTTCCTTCACGTGAACGAAGCTATGATACAACTATGATCGTAACCAATACATAGAGACATAGATCGCTGTATCGTGGTGACATCTGGTGATATATAAGCTTGTAACTACTGGAGCACAGAGAAGAAACATTTTCTTGTTCTTTTGTGTGTGCCTGTTTCTTTTTTCGCTTGAAAACCAAGCTGCGACCATCTCTGCGTATCAGATGATTCAATAGAGATTTGATATCTTGCAAAGCCGCGCCATCATAATTCGTATAAAGTATTCTTGAGACACTTCCATGCCTTGCACCGTGTTAAATGTTGTTAAAAAGAAGTAGAACTTGTACCAGTTTCCTATGGTATTGAAGAGGCCCAGTGGAATAACTTTACAAGCGAGCACTTCACTGAAAAACTCGACATAACACAAACTAAAACCTGCTGTTTAAACCTGCTCGGTTCAATCTCGTTCCCAGAGTCTTCGTTCCCCTTGACCAGCGGTCGGGAAACGAGCTTGCTCTCCTCGTTCCCAGAGCCCACCTGTCTTTTGGTCAACGCCAAGTCACGGCGCATGCGTGGCTTAGGTTAAAACATGGTAATCTCGTTCCCAGAGCGCACGTGTCTTTTGTACAAACAGCGGATCTTTCCAAATGGCTTTTTGTCTGCATGGGTGCTCACTGTAGCATACCTAATAACAAGTAAGAAAGGATATAGAGCAGTTTTGAGTGTCGTAATCCGTCTGGCCAATTATTAAGAACACAGGCAACCCAATGAACCAATCAAAACTTGAAGTTAAAACGTTGCTGACGCGAAGTGCGGGAAAAGTTTGCGAACGAGTCAAATGGCTTTAAATTTACTTCGGATTAGATGAAAATGTAGTGTGAGTCTTTTTAAGGGCCCATTAACCGATTCATGCGCGCGCTCGCGCGCGTTGCTATAGAGGTGAAATTTCACTTCCGGTCATTTACGTCAGCCTGAGCACGGAAAATAAAAACAACTCAAAAACTTGCAAATTCGCATCCATTTTAGATGTTTTTCTTTGTGTTTCGCAAAATGCAAAGTATAAAAAGTACAAGCAAAGACGTGTGGCTTTGTGCGCTGGAAGTAGTGTAAATTGCGCACGCGCTGATAGGGTAAATAGATATCGGGCGCACTTCCGGTTTCTTTAAATGCTAAAGGAAACGCGGTTTTTCATTAAATCCAGCC